AATCAGCTTGAAAATTTTAAAGAGCAAGAAATTGTCTTGAATCCTAATCTAATAATTCTTTATATATTTATTACATTATATTAGGTTTTTTTTTCTTCCCGTAGACGATAATGCCCAGCAACTCACTTCATTTGAGCTGGATTGGAATGCTTTAAAATAAATCGATCGGTGAATAGAGGATAAAACTAGATATTGAATAAAGTGAGGGTACTCAGTGAGGAGTTCCCAGTCAATAAATTTTCTTTGCTTTTCATAACCTCAGCTGTAATATTTCTTCCATGGAAACCAGGAGATTTACGGCACCTTCTCCTTGATAATGACAAGCAACGTCTATGGAAAGAAATTTCACAAAGCGACTGTTATCAAAAGTAATTTTGCAAAGCGAAGGATAGCTAAATTAAATTCGGAAAGAATCCCTTAGCGAGGTAAAATTCTTCAGCCGTCAAAAGAAGCTCCCTGAAACATCCGTACTGCAGTTCCGCTTACCTTCTATTTAATTTCCAAAAGATTCTAGTACTTTTCTCAAAATCTGAACTACAGTAAAATCGGTTAAATACCAAATTTTCAAGAAAAGAATACTTTTGTAAGTCACATAAAGCAAATAAATAACAGTCTCAGTAAATTGTTTAGACAAATTACTTCCGCTCGGTCAAGATAATTTCTTTGCAGTTTAAGGTTATATGAAATTTCTAGTTCTATCAGGTTTATATTTATACGAAAAGTTTCATACAACATTTTGTAAATCACGTGAAGAAAGTTAATAACTGTCTCAGTAATTGTTCATCTAAATTACTTCCTGGTCAGGATAGCTTCATTACGATTTAAGGTTATATGAAATTTCATACTTTTGTTAGGTTTATATTTATAAAAAAAGGTTTCATAGAATATTTTTATGAAGTTATAATTAATTAGACTAAGAGTAAGAAGAGATTGTCAATGAAGATGTTTCACCTTGGAAATATTTCAAGATGCATCTCTATCTAAAAGAACCTAGTGTCTGAAATATCTTTAAACAATTCATTTAAAGACCAAAAGCACTCAGTACAGTTTTTCTTTGATTTTATGGAGCATACTTGTAAGTTAATATCTTCATCGTTGGGGAAAACGAGTAAGTTTTCACTGGAGTCAACTTCGTTAGTTATCAACTATCGCCCTGCACGTGGCATCGATTTAAATTTGTTCCTCCCCCGGGTCACTGCGAGTGAGACTTTTGCTACGAAACATGGGGGAAGAACCAAATATACGTCATACTCTCCAACCCGAATGTCGCATACAACACATGATTACAGTTATCACAAAGTTATTAGTCAGACATTGGGTCGAGATAACAGGTGGCGCTAGGTATTGAGATGGCCATGGTCGAATACAATGAATCTTCACACACACTATGTGTTCCTATGGCAACGCGTGCTGCCAGCTGCGTCTACCTGCCGTGCACCCGAGTGGAACTACCAAGAGCAGATTGCGCAGGTGTACCCATGCGTGACATCAAGAACTACATATTTATTCTCAAATCTATCTCTTATAAATATAGTGTGTAGTACCCTCACTTAAACCATCTTGGTGCACATGAATGCACAGTGATAGGCAATCCAACAAATCTGAAAAGTTTTCAACCAATACGTCGCTCATTTCGAAAGAATCATCCCACTGTACGATAATTGATTACACAAAATCTTAAAACGTTTGAGTACACGCACGGATTTCTTTATATAAGAGTACATTTTTAAGTGATTAAGAAAGTAAGTTAACAGCCAGATATGCAAGTAAAAATTTCTCATTTTTCTAAACTAAATAATTCATCGAACTTACATATTCATAACATAAAAAAGGCAAATTTTAAACAGCAATTAAATGTTATTCTTTTTTAGCACTTTATATGTATGTAAGTGATACATACTTTTATATAGAATTGATATTTGTTTAACAACCTTAAGAACTTAAAAAAATTCAAATAACACTATTATCCAGCCCCTTCATTACAGCTGCAAATAAAGTTATTTAACTATTTGTAGAGAAATGATATAGTGGAAAGGTGTCATATAAGTGACTAAATGTGATTTATGATAAAAAGAAAATTTTATTAAAACATCAGTAAGACGCAGCTGATATTTTTATGACTGAATGCACTTTCTAATGTAAGAATTAAAAGTGTAAAAGATTAAGAATGCATCTTTTATGCTCAAGTAAAATTCCAAATTGCAAATGAGGCACTTTTTATATTCAAGTGAAGTTTTACTTTTCAGGAAGACACGCTTTTAAGAAAACTTTATCTTACTTTAAGAAGATAATTGATATTAAGAAAACTAATTAATTATTAAGATTAATTAATATTAATTTTAGAAATATTAGAAAACTCCTGAAAATTCAGTTTAATCAAAAAAAATTATAGTAAACGCTGTAATGTATATTTGCAGTTTGCCTTTTTTTTTCTATTTTGGAAAAATTTTCATCAAATAACGCTACTTATTATTAGTTAAAGATCTAATTTTTGGAATTTATTGCTATTTAGAGATCAGTTTCTTGGAACCTAGATACATCGAAACGTCATGTTGAACTGCAGATTCTATGTGTAGAGTTACATGAATTTTAACTTAAGGAACAGTCTAGGAAACAATATTTTAACCTAAGGCAGTCATCCTTAATTTTAAGCAATGCTAAAGGAATAAACATTTTTATTAATGACAAATTTCATAAACTTTCAAAGCGGAAGCGCTTGGAAAATAGAAGATTTTCGTCTTTTATAATCTAATTTTAAAACTAAGCATGATAACAAAAAAAGCCTGAATTTACTAATTTGTCTAATTACATTAAGTCACTGTCCTCGCTTTAGGTTACACATTTTCCCTATTGGGCATTTATTATCATCTTCTAAGAAACAAAATTATATATTGAAATTTATCAAATTAGAGTATTATAGTTTAATGCATTACTCTGTCAAGGCATTTATAAGAAAGTTCTCATTTCTTTCAGTGACCAAGAAAGCAAAATAAATAAATAAATAAATACAAGGAGCTAAAGTACATTCTTAGACACAGAGAGCAACTTTTCCCTTTTGGGAATTTTCGAATATTTTTCAAACATTCATTAATCTTAAAACAATTTTCAAAGTTTACTGCACGATTCCTTCCGGAAATACGTGAATTTATAGTAATGAATTATAAAGTCAGCTAGCAAAAACAGTTCTTATCTATGAACAGATAAATAAAAGACAGAAAACGGTTCATGTTAAAAAATAATACAATACCGTGTGACAAGTAGTGGAGGACTAGGACACTTGGTGGCTAACAGAAATAAACAGGTATTTGTCCCGCGCACTCCCCTTAGCTAGAAGCATCGACTCCCTGGAGCCTCAAAAGTCTGTTTCATAGCAATAAAATGTTTCATTATTTTGGAGGAATTGATAAAAATCATTTAAGTTCTTTTGCACATTTTATCTTCTTGCACTGTCAAAAGCTGAAGGATATTTCAATGACATATTTCCAGATTATTAATTATAATGATTTTATCACATAAATTTTCTCTGACTTAATTCGCATTCTCTTATACTTCCTATTATACAACAGCAATATAATATATTAAATAATAGAGGCACTGACGTTTTTACATTTCACTTTCTAAAATGTGAAATTTTGGGCTAGTGCTCCTGACATCTCTACCATTTTCAGAATGTACCATCTGAAACTTAATATTTCTTTACCTCTTTAGATAACTTACTTTATTAGAGCCATGAACAATAGGTAAATAATCAGAAATTTAAAACCGGCTTAAAAAATTATGTGTTAGACTTGTATTTGGAATATTAAAACTAAATTCCATTTTGAAACTATTCTATAACAGAATTACCGGTAAAAATATGCAAAAATATAACGGATACAGAAACTCATGGGGGTAAAACTCGTAGTATAAGACTTCGAGAAGGGACAGAGAAAATATAACAGTTGAGAAACAGTGTAATAGAAAACAAAGCAACGGCATAACTTTTTCAGTTTTAAGATATCTTCATTCAAAATAATGTGGTAAACAATATCGCAGACACTCGCTTTCAGATTTTATAAGTCTCAAGTGTATGTTAACTGATACAGTATGTAATAATTTATGTGCACAAGAAAGAATGAGAACTACTTTTATTTTTATTATTCTAGACCTTTTGAGCTAACTAAAATGTTAAAGAAGAAGCTCGAGCATTCAAAATTCGAAAATGAGAATAAATAACAGTTGAGTACAGCAACAATAAGTAGAACTTACGTAGCTACTTATTAACAGCTATTATTTAATTAATTCCTGTCCTAAATACGTATTTGTAGTTTTTCATGAAATAATACAGTGGGAAATATCATAAAATATAAGCTTGTGTTTATTTTATACGAGAAAAAGTACACATGCAGCTACCTGTTTTAGTTCCTGGGTGTGAATTACTATAGCTTCAAGGCTTAATAATACATACAGTAATACCTCGACATATGAGTTTAATTCGTTCGGTAACCTTGCTCGCATGTCAAATTGCTCGTATCTCAAAGCAATTTTCCCCATATAAATTAATTGAAATGCTATTAATCCGTTTCAGCTCCCAAAACACCACCTCAGTTGTTTTTGTTAAGTGTTTTTAAATAAGAAAAATGTATTTACAAGAAGAAACATTTATTTATAAATAACAAATACATATTCTATAAAAACATAAAAGAAAAAGTGAAGTGCCTACGGAAGCGCTTAATTTTTGTCACTGGTCTTCGCTTTTTTCGTCATGCTTTGCTCATTTTCACACCTGCAGATCGTTTAAAAAAACTGTCCAAGGAGGTTTGTTTCTTCCTCCTGTTCAGGGTATTGCGGAAATGAGTTAGGCAAGTTTCGTTGAACAACTCCGAATGCACGACCAGTTGCAACTTTTTCGGGGTGATTTTTATATCCACGAACTCTACAACTTTCTTCCCACATTCCCAAGATCTCCTTTTATATCTCTTGTAGGAATAACCTCCTCCAGCTCTGGCTCCTCTTCAAAACTAATTTTTCATTGAACCACCGTATGCTGCTGTGAAATGTAGATCGTGTAACTCCTCGGTTGTCAGCTCCTGAGACTGTTCCTCGACGAGTTCGTTCACATCTCTCTCATCCACCTCCAGACTCATGGATTTTCCCAGAGAAACAAGCTCCTCTACCACTGACACTTTGGGTTCCAATCCTTCGAAGGCCCTTTCAGCTACAGCCTCAGGCCACAGCTTCTTCCATGCAGAGGTTAAGGTCCTCGTTGTAACACCCAGCCAGGCCTGATCAATAATTCTTAGGCATATCACGATGTTAAAGTGGTCTTTCCAGAACTCTCGAAGGGTAAGGTTTGTGTTCTCCGTCACCTCAAAGCAGCGCCGAAAAATGTGCTTGGTGTACAACTTCTTAAAATTAGAAATCACCTGCTGATCCATGGGCTGCAGGATAGGAGTGGTGTTGGGTGGTAGGTAGGGAACTTTTATAAACTTGAACTCTTCGAGTAAATCATCTTCGAGATTTGGTGGGTGAGTAGGGGCATTGTCGAGGAAGAGAAGGGCTTGCATGGGTAGGTTGTTTTTCTGTAGATATTTTTTAACAGAAGGGCCAAACACCAGGTTTATCCACTCCACAAAGAATTTCCTGGTGACCCACGCCTTCGGATTTGCCCTCCACATAACTGGCAGTTTTTCTTTTAAAATATTATATGACTTAAAGCCTCTGGGATTTTCCGAATGGTATACTAGCAGAGGCTTGATTTTACAGTCGCCACTCGCATTGGCGCAAATTGCTAGAGTTAATCTATCCTTCATGGGTTTGTGACCTGGCATCGTCTTCTCCTCTGCCGTTATGTAAGTTCTATTCGGCATCCTTTACCAGAAAGCCTATCTCGTCACAGCTGGGTTTTGTTCGTTCTTCTATCAGCCCGAAAACGGGCTTACTGCTATTTCAATAATGTGGGAAGTCCAAGTACAGGAGGATACGCCTTTTTTTTCACTCCCATAATTCCGTACTTCGGAATACAGAGACCAACTACTTGTGGTCGAACGTAGAATATAAAAATATTAACTAAACTCTAACTTAACTTGGAATAATAAACAAGGGCCTACGTGGAAGATGGGCCGTATATTAACAGGAAGTCGTATGTAGTACAGAGAACTGTTAACACTACAATACGTTTAAAATTATCACGAGGATTAAACCTCTGGCCTGGAAGGCAACCATCAACCGAGTAAAACTGCTAAGTAAGCGGCCTGCTTCGACTAACTCCCTCCTCTCTCTCGCTTGGCAAAAGCCACAACTTAAGTACTTGGCGTTCGCCCAGACAATTTTGCATAAAATAAGTTAAAGCTTTTCTTCTGGCCGAGAAAATAAGAAGTGATCGTAAAGATTAAATAAAATAAACGTTAGTAAAACTTAAGATCCTTACATACTTCTTCCCGCCAGAGTTTAATTAGTTTGAAACTGAGGTCTAAAACGACCTTGTTGAAAACTTTTTAGCTCTAGAATCTAACGCAACGCGAGGCCAATCTTTTACAAACATTCTCACTAGAACTAGAAATTTAAAAAACTTTGTATTACACATATCAGCTCCATGGACAACCATTTTCATCTGTACTGCATCTAAACAGGAGCTTTTTATTCAAATCTGGTTCCTTCCAGATCTGGAAGGAAAAACTAGTTTAATGAAATGTTACACAATGAAATGGCAAGTAACATGAATATTATATTTCTCTTAACATTCTTATTTCATTCATGACTTTTTTAATTGTCTCTTTCCTGTGCTCTCTGAATTGTGTAAAAGGAAACACCAAGCACGAATGTGTTTATGTATACGGTTTCAACACTGCCGCCTCAATCAAACACTAACGTGTTAAAATTCAACATAACAAGACCTCGTAACACACCCTATCTTCAACTCTAAACCCGAGGTACTATTCTGAAAGTGGCTAACTCTGAAGTGTAGCGTCAGAGAGCCTAACTACATTCATTCAACCTTTAACACATATTCACCATAATTTGGTCTTTTTTACAGTCACACGAATAAGTTTAAAAATTTTTTTGCATTACTTTCACTTTTACCATATCACAGTATTTCTTAACATTTAAATTAAAATAACAGTTCACATTGTATATAAGAACATATTAACATGCCGTTAATTTTACGCATTTTAAAACATACATTAGTAGTACATTGTTAACTTCTATTCTTTTTCCAAGCAAGTGCCAATTCTTCTACATTGAAATACTACATTTCAAAAGTCTTTCAGACTAAAACTTCTTTCTTGCCAGAATGTTTTAAAAATTTATACAATAACTTTTACAATATTTAAGTCTTACACCCAACGCTATTATACATCCCTTTAGTTTTACCGCGCGAGTAATGAAAAACATAAACCAAAATCGAACAACTCATTTTCTCGCCCTTTTGGCGATAAAGGTAACCTGCATGAGGTAAAAATTCTTGAAATCTGCCCTTGCAGTAAGAATGAAAGATTAACTTAAGTTTTGCAAAGTTAACATAAATTTTACTTCTTTGTGATATTCGGACATCCTTTTCTGGGCCCAGTCCTTAAAGGTATTGCGATGTTGTTTGATTTATCCTCCTTCTTGTACGGGCTCGCCCTTCAGTGCCTTCCCCTGGAAGCTTCCTTTTTTCACCAGTTTCGGGTCACCCTTTGAATACCTTCTTCTCCTCTGCTTGTGGTCTTGGCCGTTTGATGGCAGCTGGTCTTGGCGGAACCGGGAACTTTCTGTCGTGTTCCTGCTTGGACCTCGTTGCTGGCCGTTCAAATTTCCTTGTAACTTTTCTCCGCCGCTGATGTCCCCTTCCGCAGTTCGGCGACATTTGCTGCGGAGAGTCCTGTCGGTGAGTACATCTTCCTTTTTGAGCCGGGTTATAGTGGCCGTTATTTCTCCTGGCTCTCTTGCATTGTCGTACTTCTCCCTTCTTCATTCTGGGGGGGTCGTGAGCTCTCTTTTCTGGTGGTGGAACGGCTTCTTTTTCTTGTTACCTTCAATTTTCCAGCGGGGAAACTTTCTTTCAATTGCTCTGCCCTCCTAATGGCTTGCCCTTGTACTTGTCGTTTTTCCACTCTGGAGCTTGTGCCTGCGTGCCGGATCCTGCAAAAGAGTCTTTGAATATTTGCATTTTATTACGATCATAATATGGTTTTATTTGATCAATGTTTGCGGTCATTTTCATTTCACATTCCTGGCTTTTAACACCACTACAGCGTGAGTTATTTTTTCTATGACATATGGTCCTTCAAATCGTGGAAAAATTGGCGGTTTTATCTTCTGGTGCTGAAGAAAGTGATGCTAATTCTAATACTTCATCTCCTACTTTAAGTTACTCCCCGTCGTTTCAAATCATAATAAAGATTTTGTTTTCTCTGTGCTACATCAGTATTCTTTTTGCTTCTTTAATTAATGTTTTTTTCTATATCACCCATTTTAAATTCTGGGGCTCTTGTTGCACATAAATATTTATCTAACGTCGTTAATCTTTCTTTCTGCCTAAAAATAACTCAGGAGGAGTTTTGCCCGTTGTATCATGTTTTGCGGTCCTAAGGGCGAAAGCAATTCATTGACATAGTTATCCCAGCTTTTATGAAAATTTTTAACATAATACGGATAATTTTCACTATATTTCTATTAACCCGTTCCGCATATTTGATTGCGGCCGATACGGGACCATTTTTAAATGACGTATGCCCCAGTTTTTTGGCACATGTCTTCAAATATATTACTTACAAATTGAGGACCATTATCCGATATACATTAGGGGCGCCCCCGTATTTAAATATATATATTTTAAAATAGAATCAGTAACTCTCGTAATTTCGCGGAGGCTCGTTTTTAGGGAAACAATTTCGGTCCACTTACTAAAATTATCAACCATAACAAGGAGATAGCGACTTTTATTTAACTGACTTTTGGGAAAGGGCCCAATAAATCGATGCCAATTATTTCATTTGGAAATTCGGATTTAATACTATTTAGAAACCCGGCCGGGCGGAAATTAATATAATTAACTGCTTGACATGTTGGGCAGGACTGGACATACCCCTTGTTAACTTTTGCAGTTCAGGAAAATAGACTGGCCTTCGCGTACGCGTGGATAGTTTTCGAATACCAGCATGAGAAGCTAAAGGGCTGTCATGAACTCCGCAGGATATTTAATCTAAGACTAGCTGGGATAACAGGTCGAAATTCGTTGTTGGAATTTGTAGTTTTTGTATAAAATAATAGACCATCTATTAGTTCGTAATGGGCCGCCCTATTTCTTATCGCCATAATATCTTGGTGGCTAAAATTTTCATGATCCTTTAAATACTCATAAATGCTTCCAAACTCAGGATCTTACCCAGTTCGGTTATTACAGTTTCTCGGGAATTTTATTGACATCGTGAGCATTGCCACCTTTACAGTTATTACCTTCTTCATCTATTTTTATTCTGGATAAGGCATCTGCTACGATATTTTCCTTTCCGGGGTATGCTTATTACCAGACTATATCTTGTAGCTTGAGTGCCCATCTTATTAACCTGGGGATAAGTTTTTCCCTGAGTACAATCTAGTTACCGCCGCATGATCAAATAAAACACTGTTATGCGCCTTTCCAAATAGACTCGGAACTTTTGCAATGCTAACAGAACTGCATGTGCCCTCTCTCTCAGTGCGCGGAATAATTTCTTTGTGTTTGATTTAAAGTCGGCTAAAAATGCCACGGGGCTGCTTTTGCGAAATACCGCCCTACCTACTGCATAATCCGAGCATCCGCTGAATTTCTAAATTCTCATCGTTTTCAGGAATTCAACACAGGGGCTTGCGTTAATGCTTGTTTTAATTTTTTCGAAAGCACTATTGGCTTCGGCCGTCCACGAGAATCTTGCCTTTTTTCTTTTATTTTAACATGGTTCAGCAATAGCTGAAAAATCTTTTACTAAAGGACCTATAATATGAACAAAGTCCTAGAAAGAATAGAGCTTCTCGCCGTGTTTGGAGGCGGATACTTTTGTACAGCGATTATTTTTGATTCGTCTGTCCGATTTCTTCTGAGATATTTTGTAACCTAATATTAATCAGGGGCTGCAAATTTGCACTTTTCGACTTAACTTTAGACCGCCTCATTTAATAAAAGAAAATACCTTCTTAATCCTTACCTGTTCGGTCCAGATGATCACTAGTAATAATGATATCGTCTAAATAGATAAATTGGATTTTCCAAAAACATGCCTTAACACAATGTCCATACATCGCTGAAATGTTGCCCGGTGCCCCTGAAAGGCCAAACGGCATACGCAGGGAATGCATACGTGCCAGACTTGGTTATAAAAGCAGTCTTAGGCACGTCCTCAGGTCTAAACCCTATTTGAAAATAACCAGTCGTTAAGTCTAAAGTCGTCATATATTTGTAGACGTTATGTTCCTTAGAATTTCTTCAATAATAGGTACCGGATATACCGGATATTTAGTTATGGAGTTTAATTTACGATAGTCGATCGCGAAACGCCACCTTTTGGATGTGTTAATGGATAGTCATTATTTTTCTTACATAAACCACCGGGCTAGCATAACTACTTGAGATGGGGGTTATGATCTTTTTACGTAGCGTTTATGATCTGATGTGCCATTCTATAATTTTTTCTTTATTCTTATCATACCGGTATGCTTTGTGGCGAACTGGCATTGAACTCTCCGTGTCAATACTATGGTTAGTAACTTGAGTAAATCCTGGAATATCACTAAAAACGAAGCAAATTCACTTACCACTTGTCGGATTCTTTGTTGCTCTTCATTAGGCAGTGGTCAAGGTTTAACATCGGCGGCCTCCGATTTTTCTTCTCGAACTGGTTTCATCGTC